TAAAACAATCTCCCTGGAGAGGTGGGGGGGGGGGGTTAAGTGAAGAAGTAACTTTTTTTTGCTCTATTGAAAGAGTAAATTCGGAATGGAAGTCTCTGGGTATCGATTTATATAACATAACATTTTAGGTTTTTCCTCTTACGGGCTTTTTTGGGGGAGGGTGGAGCAAGTTTGAATTAAGGTTTCACTTTCTTTAACAAAGCAGGAAGACATAGAAAGTTAAGATTTGTTACGCAAGTTGTTCTTGGGATTTTGATTTAACTTTTAAAAAACTCAACCTTCAAGGTACATCCCTTCAGGACGATTACTTGATCATTTTGTCGTCAGTGGCCGAATTATTTGCGAGTTGTGTGTCCGGGTTCATATCGCAATTACCAATGGCCCGAAGAAAATAAAGGATATTTAGGTATAAAAAGAAGCAGTCTAATTAGAGCCATTGATTTCCATTATTACTGGAATTCCTCCTCTGAGGATCTTTCTATCGTCTTTCCTGAATTCCTTCCCCAAAACGTGCTGAAGTATTACAGTTCTACTTATTTTGGGGGAATCGCGATTTCCTGTATCTTCTGCAGTATTTCCGTTTTCGTCTCAGGATGAAGACGATGCCTGCAATTTGAATGACTTCAAATGACTTCAGGGAATAATAGTGGATGCGGCGCTGGAGGGCTGTGCTCTTCTTCGCAACAAACGTTCCAGATCCAATTGAGACAGGCGAGTCAATGCTTGAAATATTCAATGGGTTGCGCTGTGTTTCGTGCAGGAATCCGTGCAACTATGGTGTTATCGTGGAAAGGTCAAGCGATAGGAATATCCCTTCCAGGCAGCGCCTGCCTTGTTCTCTTTCCCCCGGTGTGGTTGCAGTTATGCATGGTCCGTGTTTCATTAATCTATGCATTAGGCGATGAAAAACAAGTTGTAAAAGAGTCACATTAGACCATGTCCGGCTAAAGGGAAGGTCTTCTGGAAATATTCATACGAGGATAAAAATGCATTCACTCTCTTTTCATTCTCGCGAGAAAATCTGACAACAATGTGCAAACACGGACACTGGAAATCGGATCAAGACAACAGAAAATTGAAGAAGAGTTCACAGATGAAGAAATTGCACGTTGTCCAGATTGCAGGTTTTGTGGCCCCGTGTGGCAGGTCCAACATCGTCCTCGGCCGTCACGGGATCTCTCAGTAATACTTACATTGAGGGAGGTCGCAGAAGCGTCTCTCCAGGGTCTCCCCACAGGGACGGGGCGCGTCGCGCGGCTGGAAGAGGATCGCCCTCGTCCTGCTCTGCGTCCCGTCGCCGCACGTCCGGCTGCACTGGGACCAAGGGCCCATGAGAAGTTTCCAGACAATTTCCTCAGAGCCAGTAAGCAAATACCGGTTGGAGCAGGTAACAAAAAAGGGAACAATTAAAATATAACAAGAAAACTAAAGAATTGTATTCGATCGCGAATAAACTGTTAGACTCACGTAAAATTCTGCCCAAAAGGCATGAGCAGTTACAAGATAATACCCATAATAGAAATCCTCAATTACGTTTTATTTTTTTTTTTACTACGAGTGAAGTACTAAAGAAACACCTTAAACACAACTAAGCATATCTTTTCTCGTTGACAGATTAGGTCAATGATATGATTTTGGGTACAATATCAGTTTAGTCTGATTTGAATAAGCATGCAAACTTGTCAAAAGCGCGAATGAATGACCTGCCCACTCGCAAATGTACCATCTCCACGGGTTAAGCCACTAAAAGGACTTCATGCTAGTCATAAGACAAAACAGCAAAAATGTCACAAGAGGGCAACAGACCTTGACCATGCGTATCCTCTCCCTCTGCCCCTGACCGCATGTGACCGAGCACGGGGACCAGTCGCTCCACGGTGTGACCATGCAGTCCACGGGAGGAGCCCCTCCCCTGCCCCCTCCGTCGTGCCTCAGCCGGTGCTGGCCGGAGGTTTGCTGGCCGGAGGCGTAGTGGCCGGAAGCGTGGTGGCTGGAGATGCCGCCCGCGTCTTCCCTGTCGTAATCGTCCGTCGAGAATTCGTCGAAGACGCCGGAGGAGTTGAAGGGCGCGGAGGAGATGAAGGGAGAGGGCTTCACCATCGTGTGGCCTTGGTGCTTCGGCTTCTTCATCATCGCTTTCTTCTTCGCTTCCTCGGGGCTCAGGTCTTCAAACGGGAAGCTTCCGCCTGCTCCTTCCACTACCGAGGAAATCGCAGTTCTTCGTTGTAGCTTCACTTGAATGCTTATGTTCGGGTTTAAAATATGGATATTAGTTATTCGACAATTTTCATACCACAAATTTTAAAGGTAAAAAATTCCCTCAGATTAACTTGGGACAATTAAAGCTTCCGAATATTGCTAGGACGAGTCACTGTTTTACTACACACGACAGAATCACTTTTGCACTCCAGATACATAGACGGATGCTGGACAGAAGAAACGTGAAACCAGAAAATCTCTCCGGAACCTTTTTGGAGGATTTTGGGCAGAAGACCCTATCATGGTAGGACAAGGAAACGACGACGGACGCTCACGTGCCAAAATTATGGAGCACATTTTTATGGGTGAATTTCTTCGCTGAATATCGCAACCTCAAGCAAAAAATGACGAGACTGCCATTAAATCCGAAGCTCCATAGCCGGTTGTGCTGCATGTTGATAAGGCAAGCAAGTGGCCGTCCTGAAATGAATGATTTCCAGTTCTTGCTCCGTGGAGAACATGAACTAAATTCCAAGGAGAAATAGTTCAGATTGCTAAGAATCTCTTAAATATCTATTTTTTACTCATTCGGGAATGTCTTCGGAAAATCCAGCGATCCCGATTCAAAAAAATCTGACGAAAGGCTGTTCCTTCAACGTGGGCATGGGCTAAACTTAATTTCTTGCATTCGAGTGCTGGGAGACGTAACCCTACTTTTCACAGCCAGAAACCTCAAGGTGGCCTCCCATTATATAGGGAGTCGGTGGCCTCCCATTATATAGGGAGTCGGTGGCAAGTCGGTCTCCAGTTCATTACCTGCTAAGAAGCCTGATTTTCTTTCTATCTTTCAGCAGCACAGACAGCTACTGAGATTTGAACAGAGTCCGCTGGATGAAGAATGTGAATGGCCCCGTACGTCCATCGCGTTCTTTCCGTCCTTCCAGTCATAGTCCGTGAGGACGATCCGATGTCCTCAAAATGGCACGGTGCGCGCCGCTTCCAGATTTTTCTGCCGACTTGGAGGTCGGGAGATGGAAGGTGAGAGGGAGATGGAAGGTGAGAGGGAGATGGAAGGGGAGGAAGGTGTGAAGAGACGAACGGTTGCGAATCGCGAGGGAGACGACGCGATGAACGATCTTGAGGAGCCGACGGGACAACGAAACCCGTGCGTCCCTCTTTTCCTTCCAGATTTTCGCGCAGTTCCACAGATGCCGAATGAGTTTTGCGCAACGCAGCTGACGCGGTGGTTCAACCCGCACGATCTGGGTTGCCCATTTCAGCCCCATCACTCGCGTTCTCCGATCGGGTCGAGACCCGAAACTACGGGATGGGAACCAAAATGGCTCCTACAAAGTCCAGATCTCGAACAGAGCCTGGATAATTTCATTCATGGCATTCCCAACGAGTGCGTGAGCACACAAAGACTCCCGACTGAATCAGGCTCTCAACCCCTCCATAGAGCAGCGAGACAAAAGAGTCTGTAACTGCGTACAGGTCACGCCACAAACGACAGGCGCTAATTCCAAGGTGCCCCATATGTGATTCCCTGTAACATGTGACTCCCCACAATATCTTATTCCCAATATCTGATTCCCCACGATATATGATTTCCCACAATATCTGACTCCCCGCAATATCTGACTCCCCACAATATCTGACTCCCCACAATATCTGACTCCCCACAATATCTGATGCCCCCGAAGACGAAGACGGATAGGCAGCATGCAGACAAGGACCGCCACGGAGCACCCCGCATCCACAGTTCTCGTATTCCAAAAAAAAAATTCTCTGCGAGTCTAAATTACCCTGTTTGCACACGAGTCTGCCGAGAGACTCGTCATAGACCCAACGGGAATCCTCGGGAAGGGAATAGGCGAGGACCGCCGAGATTTCCATCCGACCGCTCGGCGTCGACTCCGTGTCGATCGCTACATCACGGAAACAACCAGGCTCATGTGAAGACTGTCGCCACCCCTAGCCTTCCCCGAAAAATGCCATGTATGTTCTTCTTTAAGGACTTTAAAATTACATTTTAAAAATAATTTAAAAAAATGCTTTAAATAAATATATACATCGCTATATATTTTCCAGCATAAAATATATTTTGAAATGTTTACCACTACATAAACTCTTTAACATTTAGAAATATACATTTCCAAAAAAAAACCTGAGCGGTGGAGACAAGGAGAAGTTGATCGCCATCACAGATCCCTCGCTCCAAGGCAGTCCTTCATTGACCTTCATTGGCTCTTGTCTCACATGAGACAGGAGCCAATGAAGGTCAGACTGTCTCCCCGTGACCCTGTCTCATCCCCATTCTTGCTAGAATACGAATTCAATTTTTTCCCCGAATACCCCGCCGCTCAGGTTTTTATCGGAAGTGCATATTTTAAAATTAAATTTAAATACATGTAAATAATTACAAATTACAGGGTGTCACTCACGCTTCGGCAGGGCCCGCTCGCACATCTCGGCGCATTCCCCGTAGTCCTTGAAGTTGTTCCGATTCCCGCGGCACCCGCCGTAGACGAACTGGAGGCACATGCCCTTGACCGAGTCGAAGTGCCACCGGTGGAAGGTGCCGCGGCACGGTCCCACCTCC